CAGAAATCGCATCTCTCCAAGCTGTTCGAATTTCAGGGTGGGCCTCCAATTCTCTTGCCAAGGCTTCGTGGGGTGGCATAGTACAAGACTCAACCATTTCAATATCACCAGCATATTTTGAATACATCGGAACTTTGATGCGGTACAGTTTCTCGTCTTCCTTAGCGAACCCGAGCGCCCGGTCTAGTTTTCTCTGGAAGTGGCCCGAGGGGCTCTCGGGGGGTAATCCGTATTTCCTCGCTTCTCGCACCCCAGCTTCAGCAGCATAGTGACATAAGATACAAGCCCTTCGGGCGCTGATCTCGCCTGCCAAATACGGTTCAATGATCTCTTGAACAAAGAGCTCCCCAGGATTCGGGCCAGGTGGTCCGTCCCCAGCGTCCCAAGGGGGGACATCCCATTCAGCATGTCGCTTCATGAATGCAAGGTTTGGGCTAAAATGCTTCGGAACCAATGGCGATAAATACACCGATGCATCCCCTCCACGCTTATACTCCCTCCTACCTCCTCCGTCTTTGCCTCCTCCACATCCTCCTCCCTTCCTTTGCTGTGACTACCCAGCTTCGTCTGCGCTCAGTCCCTTGTGATCCCACGCTCTCTCCAACGCCCCCCCCCCCGTCTCTCATTGTTCAGTTGCTACGTGGGCGGCGACGGTGTTCTTGGCATGGGGCGTTTTGTTAGGGGAGAAGGATGGCCGAGGGAGAGAAGGGAGGAGAGGTTTCCGATCGTTGATCATTGCGACATTCTGAATGGGATGTAGATTCAGTCCGAGTGCGAACCCTACGCCGAGCGATCCACGCCTGGCAGGACGCCTCGATTAAGATCTACAAGCGTTTGCACAAACTGCTCTGGGTAAGCGCTGGATGCAGTCGTGCGTTTTTTGTTGCCGTTGAAACGTCCCCTCTTGCATTTAGAAGTTAGGCGCTGCGAGGGTCTGGGCATGTTATGATACTTCGAACTTGCCAGGCGTTCAAACTGCGACGCCCATGCAGCATTCGTGAAACCCACCTGCGGCTTGGGCGACGCGTGTCCGAAAACAAATATGTGCCACTTCACGCGCTGAGCCCCCGTGCGAGAAATGGCATCTTCGATTGCAGGATGGTGCCAAAATACTGAATTGGCAGGCTGTTCGACGAAGAACACGAGACCCAAATAGCTACACAGCATGATGTAATCGGCAACGAACTCTGCCACTCTATTGAAAATTATTGTCAATTTGTTGTCGTGCCCCAGAGGGTTCTTCAGCGTGCGCCCATGAGACCGTCTCGAAAGCCCAACGAAGTTCTTGCACGGAGGATCCAAAAGCACCAAACTGCCAGAGACACATCGCACGAGCATGGCCACAGCGCTGCGAACCCCTGGAGGCCGAGTAATATCATGAGATTTGTCGAGAGTTCCCGAGTCGAAAGCCCCGCAGTCCAGACCGCTGTTCTGCATGAAATCAGAGAAGGTTCCAACGCCAGCAAACCCATCTACCCCGTACAGGCGAGGCTGGTCGCGCGTGATCGCCATCAGCTCAAACAGGAGGCAACCCCAGCCAACAGGAATGCATCCAGATAGCGGCATCCCAGTGAGCGTTTCGTTCCTCAGCGGCCCGAAAATCTTGAGCCAGATGGCTACGGAGACCAAGGTGCCCTGGGACCATGGATTTGCAAGACATTCTCAATTGGGGGCGGCTCTCGATCTCATCCTCCGTCCCACTCGCAGTCTAATCCTCGAGGTCACAGCCCCTGAGGCGTTTTCGAAGGGCCTTCCCTCCCAAGCATTGCAAAAAAGAGAAGGGTGGGCATCAACTTCTCTCGGGTCAGCCGTTGCATACACGCGTGTTTCCAGCGTGCTAAGACGTTGGGAGAGAGCGAGACGCGAGAGTGGGAAAGGAAGCATGCACATGGACGACAATGGGGGGAGGGGGTGTGTGAGGATATGTTTCTTGTTTTGCAGGCTGCTTGCTTCCCCTCGCGCTGCTCCTGCAGCGCTGTAGCGTTCCAAACCAGCGAAAGTACGTCGGGCCATCAGAAATTGCATCCGATTCAGAGCTGATTTGGACCTTGTCAAAAGTCATCGCAACCTCATCGAAAAAGTCATCGCTAACATGTAACACCTCATCGCATAACTCACCGGTCGTTTTTGAGGAATGTATCAGGGATTCTGCCTACCTCATCGCAAAGTCATCGCAAACCTCATCGGTGCGAACTCATCGCCAAACTCATCGGTCCGAAATCGCTCGAGGCCCTGGGAAAACCGGTCTGGATCCTAAAATTCTGGCAACCGCTGCAAACATTCGATATACCTGCGATGGCAGGCCCCCAGGCACACAGCTGTATGGCTCAAGCGGAAGTGGCCGAGTACTCCGAGTGCATCTTCGTGATCCTCTGGCACCTGGCGTGCACCTGATCGAGCAGCGGCTTCAGGATGGCGACGCAATTGCTGACCTGCTTCACGAACTCCGAGTCTCCAAGGCCCCTCTTGGTGTTGATAATGTTGTTGCTGATCGGAACTGTGTTCAGTATCGATGGGCACGCTGCCTTGGCTTTCCCCACGTCGTTTTTCAACTGAACTGCTATTGGTGAATCCTCGTGGAACCAGTCCTTCCAGATCGGATGCCTCTCGGTGGCCGCCTTCATAATCTCGTCGGCGCTCCCAATGCTGTTGCGCCAGCTGGCGAGGATATCCTTGAGGTCCCTCTCCGACTTGCTGACCATCTTCTTGTCTGGCGTGGCTGGCTCGAGATCATCGACGGGGCCCGCGTCAGCCGTAGGCTGCTTCCTCTTCTTATTTGGTCTCACAGGCTTCCTGGGGGCATCGTCGTCATCGTCATCCTTGCCCAGTTCCTGCTTGATGCCCCACGCCCTCTCCAGAATCTCGGTGAAGCCCTCCTCCTGGTGAGCGAACCTCTGCCCGAGCTTGACGCAGTGCTTGGCTATGTTGATCCCCACTGTCTCGTCGTGCTCCTTGGCGATGATCTGCTTCAGCGAGCGGTAGTACGTCTTGCTCCAGTCGATTTGTCTGGTGATTTCTGTCTGCGTGATCTTCTCCCTGAGCACCTTCGCCTTAGTTTCTGCCCACTTTTTGCGGCGCTCCTTCTTCTCGTCTGGATCCATTTTCTGGTATTTCTCGAGCTCCTTGGCGTTGATCTTCTTTCTGAGCCACCTGTCGAAAGCTGAATACTCGGGAGTCCTCGCCACAACTCCATGCACGGATGCGTGCTCGTAGGTCCGAACCCGCTGATCCGTCTCTTGCTTGACCTCCCCAGCCTCTGCGGCTTCCTCCTGCAGCTCCTCTTCGATCTTCTCCAGGGTGCTCGGCTCCATGCCCGTCATGCTAGATGGGAAGGCGGCGTGCTCTTGGCCTTGGTCGCTGCCGTACTGACGATCGAGCTCGCTGACCTCCATGTGCTGTTGGCTGACGGCGCCTGGCTGCTGTCCAAGGTCACTCGGCTGCGGGATGGGCTGCGGGTTCACGGGCTCCGAGACAGAACCCGCGAGTGCGATGGCGGCGGCCCCGAAGTCGGCGTCGCCCGGTGGCGGCATCGGCAGTTGCGTTGAAGTCGCGGCGGAGGGTGCGGGCTCTGCTGGCGCTGCTGGCGCCGCCTGACCGCTGGCGCCGCCTGGCGTTGGCGCTGGCTGCTGCTGCTGCTGCTGCTGCTGCTGCTCCGCGTTGGAGTCGTCTTCGATCTCGATGATGGGCGCCTGGGGATACACGACCTCCACGAGGCCCGATGCTCCAAGCCGACGGCCCACGCCGCTGAAAGGCACGAAGCGACGATCGCCCATGGCGAGGATTGCTCGACAACAATCGAGTGTCGGTTGTTTGGCTTGGCCCTAGGCTGAGTTTGAGCCAACATGGTTACGGAAAGAGGGCGTTGACCGAAATTGGAAACGCAGTTTCAAGCTAGCAGGCGACCGTTCGGGCAGGACCAGGACCATGCCGCCGATGAAAGCAACGCGGCGAAATTTCGGAAGGGAAGGGATCAGCAGCACAAAGGAGGAGGAGGAGGAGGAGGAGAAGGAGGAGGGGTACTCTCAAGAACAGTCCCAAAGTCTGTGCAATCCCACCCTTGTCAGATTTCGGCATACTGAATCTGGAATTCTTCGGGCGAAGCACGTGAGATGAGATGGGGTCAACGCGTGATCCAAACGGGGCGGGTATTGAAACTTGATTGCTACCTCATTGCCACCTCGCTGCCCTGTTCAGTAAGCGACCCCCTATAATCGTTTCGCCTACCTTTGCATTTTTCGATTGGGTGAGAGGGCCTGGACGTTTTCACTCGCGTTGCTTGATTTCTGCGAGAGCCCCGAACACAAGCACTTCAAATGATCCCGATTTTGCTTACAAGGTTGCCTCTTTTGCTCATGCTGCTGCTGCCGCTGCTGCTCTGGCTCTTCCTCATCCTCCTCTGTCTCATCCCTCTCCTCCCACCTTCCCTCCTCGCTGTCCTCATCCGCTTCCTCGTGTTCCTCCTTCCTTTCCTGATCCTCCTCGCTCCTAGCATGGTCCTCTTCTTTCCATCTGAACATGGTCACCGCCGTCCTTGTCGCGAGTTTCGTCGCCTGCCGCCCTCCCCAGCGCGCTCTCAAGACTGCAGTCGGAGGTGCAGGAAGGACGGCGATCGAGAGGGGCCAGGAGGAGACGTGGGTAGCAGGATGGCCAATCTGAGAATTCAGGAGGTCCCTGGAAGAGCATCCGATACGTTCAAAAGGCCCTTGGGTCCGGCGTTTCAGGCATACTCCCCCACTCTCTTCCTCCATCTCTGTCCTCCCTCCTCCCCTCCCTTGCTACCCCTCTTCGATGCTGGTGGGTGCGATGTGACTGGATGCGATGTCACTGGGCACATGCTTAACTTGTGACCAACTGCTGCTGAAAGGCAGTTCGAAGTGAATGCACGCAGTCGCAAGGCTGAGGACAAACTGACATGCTCGAGAAAATATGGATGGGCATGCGTGGCGAAACTGGGACGCCCTGTACACTCTGCAGTGTAAAGCTCAACTGAAGTAGGAATATCACTCAACCGATTTGTGAAGTTTCTCGACCTCCTTTGCGCCGAACGCTTTCATGGCATCAAGGTCCTTGATTTTGTTACTGCACAACTTTTTAGCGATGCCAGTTGCAACTTTCACACGCGTCTCTTCCATGCCCCCTCGAAGAACTGGCACTGCAAACCTCTGTTTGCCGTTCACGGCGATGTAGATCAGGAAACCTGTGTGGTTCACGCTATTGGCGCGGTCCTTCTTCCGCTTCACGACGATGTTCTCTTTGCCCCACGCGCCCTCGAAGTACGTCACCGATCCGCGAGGGGCCCTCGGCCCGCGACCAGGGCTGGCTTGGACGTAAGCTAAGTCCTCGTGGAAGAAGTCTTGGATGATATAGGATCGGCCGCCGCTGAAATTGCCAACCACCCTGTCGTTGGCGGTGGGCTGCACGTCCGTCGTGAACTCCTTCGGTTCGCCTGGGAAGCGAAACCAAGCGCCCTGCCCTCTCTCGAATCCCGTCTCGGGCTGCTCTTCTCCTCTGGCACCTTCGGGATCCTCGAGCGGCGGGGGGCCTGCTGGCACTGCCGACGGCGCTGCAGCTGGTAGGTCGTCAGCTGGTTCTTCTTCTGAGCTTTGGACCTCCTGGCGGTACTTGTCGAAGACGAAGGACTTCGGCATGCTCAGGTCGTAGAACGTCTCGGTGCCTGACGGCCTCTTGGAAGCTGCAGCATGAGCTACAGCTGGACGCTTCTTGACCTCGGCGTCCTCTGCACCATCGGGCTGTCCGACTCCCTCTTCCTCAGGGTCCTCTTCCTCAGGGTCCTCTTCATGCTCTTCCTCCTCCTCACCTTCGTCTTCGCAGTCGTCCTCGTCGTTGGATGGGCCGCCCAACTCTTCCGCTGCAGCTGGCTTCTTGGACGTACATCCGCTGGGCCGTTTCATGGGTGGAGCCGTAGCCGCGGTAGCGCTAGCTGGCCTCTTGCGAACGGCGTCGGCCTGGCTCTCAGGTTGGACGAGGTCGCTGATCTTCGCCGCCCACGACGGAACAGAAACCTGGCCGCATGCCCTGTTGTAGTGGCAGATCATGGTGCGCAATCGTTTGGCCAGCTGGCATGAAGCGGCCTTGTAGTCTTGTTGCAGGTCCCATTGTTTTGCTTTGTACACGCCAATGATTGCTCCCTTGGCCGTGCCCTGCGTGAGCCTATCTAACCCACGAGCTTGCAGGAACGTGACTGTAGCTACGATCAGATCTTTTTGCTTCTCGATCAGCGTCACCTCGAGCGGTTCCTGCTTCATCTGATCACCATATTGAACGAAACCTGTTGTTGTTGCGAAGGGGAGCAGGACGGACGTAAGCGCTGACGTAACAGTTGCATTCTCACCATCATCTGAATCTGACATTGGTAGAAGAATTCGAGCACGCCCCTATAAGCCAAAAAGCTATGCACAGATGACGCTACAATCGTTGAAGGCGTGTTGCTTCAGATGCTCACCCGTCCCTACTCTTCCTCCTCCTCTCCAAACACAGCCTCAAGCATTCACCTGGGACCGCTAGATCAATGACTTTGGGGCCGAGGACCCCCACAACGATAACTGAGAGGATGTCTCTGGTATGACATTGGAACCGCACAAGACTAGTTGAGAGGATGTCTCTAGCATAACGCGACGACGCATGATATTGATATATCCATTTTGGGACCCCTACAACAGTAATTGAGAGGAGTTCTCTAGCGGGATGCGCCTGAATGCGAATCGTGGATCATGTTCGTAAATTCAATGGTGTTTCGACCGTTGGTGTGTGATCTGTGTACAACGTGACGTGCGCATGCGCATGTTTTAACAGCGATGTATGTGCGTATGTGTTTTGTTGTTTTGTTTTTGGTTATCGTCCCTTTTTGTGTGGAATCAGTTGCGCTCACCTAGCAATGTAATTCCAGGTTTTAAATCTCCCCAAAATGGACATGGTGATCCAGGTTCAAAAAACGACCATGAGGGACCTCTGGGTACCCGTTCCGTCGCCGTTTTTTGACCGGTTCCGGTTCCGGTTCCAATCCTGGAGCCGTTTCTTTGCCGTTTCTGGTCGCCTTTTTTTGTCGTTTCCATTTTCAAAGGGCATTTTTTCAGAAATGGTGGAAAAACGGCTCTGCCGTTTTCCGGGGCCCACAGAGGTTCAGGCCATTCTTCCGAGGAAGCAAGTCCACCCGCCCGCGAGCCCGCCCGCCCGCCCTCCCTCCCTCCCGCCCGCCCTCCCTCCCCCTCCCTCCCCCCCCCCCCCCCTCCCTCCCTCCTCCCTCCCCCCTCCCTCCCTTCTCCCTCCTCCCTCCCCCCTCCCCCCCTCCCCTCCCCCCTCCCTCCCGCTCTCCACGCCGCATTGTAGCAGTGGCGCGCCGAGGCGGGAGAGTGGATGGGCGGGTTTTCCCAGGAGGCTCTGAAGGTCTCCGGACCTCTGAGATGGCTTGCGAGCCTCCTCCGAAGCTGCAGGCGGTTTCAGCCACGTGCAGAGGGGGTCGGGGGAGGGGGGAGGGCTTCTTAGAAGCACCCCTGCTTTTTCGAAGGCGCGGGCCTTATCTGTAGATGTAAGGCCAGCGCCTTCTAAGAAGCAGGGGTGCTTCTAAGAAGCCCTCCCCCCTCCCCCCACCCCCTTGTGCGCGCCGCCAACGGTTTCTCAGAAGGGCGGAGGGCCTTGAAGAAGCCCCGCCAACTTCCGAGGCGGCCTGCCCCCTCTCACTCCCCCCCCCGCCGCGCCGCCGATCGCACTTTTGCGTCGCGGCACGGCAGAGGCGGTCCGCACGTGCGCTCGGGCAGAGCCGGGAGACGGCGTATATGCCGGGAGGCAGGAGGGGAAGGCGCAGCCGATCACACGGATGCGGCAACTCTCTAAGGGTGCCTTCGCAACCTCGTCTCCCAGCCCATCCTTAATGGGCCAATTTTCACCACCACTACCATGGGTAGGAGGGGGGAGAAGGGAGGATGGGGAGGTCCTCCTCCTCCTCCTCCTCCTCCTCCTCCTCTTCTTCCTCCTCCTCCTCCTCCCTATCCTGCCTATGGTAGTGGTGGTGGTAAATCGGCCCATCAGTCCTGACCCTTCGGCATGAAGGGGTCGGCTCGGTTCGGTTCGGTCCGGTTCTGCAGCCGGGTCGGTTTTGCTTGGCCGGTTCGGTTTGGCATCGGTCCGGTTTCGGCCGGTTCGGCTTGGGCCTGCCGCCGGTTCGGTTCGGTTCCAGTATTCGCGCAGTTGGGTCCGACCGGTTCGGTTCGGTTCGAGTGGCCGCTCCGGTTCGGTTCGGCCCGACGGGTCAGGTGCGACGTTGGGCGCCCCGTCTGCGTAAGCGACGACCCAGTTTGAAAAAAAGGGAGGGAGGAGGACGAGGAGGAGGAGGAGGCGGAGGCGGAGGAGGGAGGGGAGGACGACGAGGAGGAGGAGAAGGAGGAGGAGGAGAAGGAGAAACGTGGAGGCGTGGAGGCGCGAGGCCCTCCAGCGACGTGCCCCGACGGGGGTCGCAGCCCCGAGGGGGGTCGCAGCCCCGAGGGGGGTCGCAGCCCCGAGGGGGGTCGCGCCCGCGAGGGGGGTCGCGCCCGCCAGGGGGGTCGCACCCGCCAGGGGGGTGGCGCCCGCCAGGGGGGTTGCGCCCGCCAGGGGGGTTGCACCCGCCAAGGGGGTTGCACCCGCCAGGGGGGTTGCGCCCGCCAGGGGGGTTGCACCCGCCAGGGGGGTTGCGCCCGCCAGGGGGGTTGCGCCCGCCAGGGGGGTTGCACCCGCCAGGGGGGTTGCGCCCGCCAGGGGGTTTGCACCCGCCAGGGGGGTTGCGCCCGCCAGGGGGGTTGCGCCCGCCAGGGGGGTTGCACCCGCCAGGGGGGTTGCGCCCGCCAGGGGGGTTGCACCCGCCAGGGGGGTCGCAGCCCTCTCAGGCGCTCCCGGCACGCCCCCAGGCGCTCCCAGGCGCTCCCTGGCGCTCCCAAGCGCTCCCAGGTACTCCCAAGCGCTCCCAAGCGCTCCCAGGCGCTCCCAAGCGCTCCCAAGCGCTTCCAGGCGCTCCCAGGCGCTCCCCGGCGCTCCCCGGCGCTCCCGGGCGCTCCCTGGCGCGTCCCGGCGCTCCCGGGCGCTCCCAAGCGCTCCCCGGCGCTCCTAGGCGCTCCCCGGCGCTGCCAGGGAGGTCGCAGCCCGCCAGGGGGGTTGCGCCCGCCAGGGGGGTTGCACCCGCCAGGGGGGTTGCGCCCGCCAGGGGGGTCGCGCCCGCCAGGGGGGTCGCGCCCGCCAGGGGTGTCGCAGCCCGCCAGGGGGGTTGCACCCGCCAGGGGGGTTGCACCCGCCAGGAGGGTTGCACCCGCCAGGGGGGTTGCGCCCGCCAGGGGGGTTGCGCCCGCCAAGGGGGTTGCGCCCGCCAGGGGGGTTGCACCCGCCAGGAGGGTTGCGCCCGCCAGGGGGGTTGCACCCGCCAGGGGGGTTGCGCCCGCCAGGGGGGTTGCACCCGCCAGGGGGGTTGCGCCCGCCAGGGGGGTTGCACCCGCCAGGGGGGTTGCGCCCGCCAGGGGGGTTGCACCCGCCAGGGGGTTGCACCCGCCAGGGGGGTTGCACCCGCCAGGGGGGTTGCACCCGCCAGGGGGGTGCGCCCGCCAGGGGGGTTGCGCCCGCCAGGGGGGTTGCACCCGCCAGGGGGGTTGCGCCCGCCAGGGGGGTTGCGCCCGCCAGGGGGGTTGCACCCGCCAGGGGGGTTGCACCCGCCAGGGGGGTTGCGCCCGCCAGGGGGGTTGCACCCGCCAGGGGGGTTGCACCCGCCAGGGGGGTTGCACCCGCCAGGGGGGTTGCACCCGCCAGGGGGGTTGCACCCGCCAGGGGGGTTGCACCCGCCAGGGGGGTTGCACCCGCCAGGGGGGCCAATTGCGCCCGCCAGGGGGGTTGCACCCGCCAGGGGGGTTGCACCCGCCAGGGGGGTTGCGCCCGGGGGGGTTGCGCCCCAGGGGGGTTGCGCCAGGGGGGTTGCGCCCACCCGCCAGGGGGGGTTGCGCCCGCCAGGGGGGTTGCACCCGCCGGGGGGGCTGCACCCGCCAGGGGGGTTGCGCCCGCCAGGGGGGTTGCACCCGCCAGGTGGGTTGCGCCCGCCAGGGGGGTTGCGCCCGCCAGGGGGGTTGCACCCGCGAGGGGGGTCGCGCCCGCCAGGGGGGTCGCACCCGCCAGGGGGGGCGCACCCGCGAGGGGGGTCGCACCCGCCAGGGGGGTCACAGCCCGCGAGGGGGGTCGCGCCCGCCAGGGTGGTCGCATCCCGCCAGGGGGGTCGCAGCCCGCCAGAGGGGTTCGGTTCGGTTCCCGTCGGTTCGGTTCAGGGGCCGCCCGGTTCCGGTTCGGTTCCGGTTCTGGTTCGGTTCGGTCCTCGCCGGTTCGGTTCTGAATGAATTCGGTTCGGTCCGGTTCGGTTTTCTACGTTCCTGGTTTTGGACCGGTTCGGTCCGGTTCGGTCACGGTTCTCGGTTCTCGGTTCGGTGCGGTCCCTTCATGCTTCGGGGGTGGACAGAACCCCCACCCTGACACGTCGATTAGTGAATTTTCCGCTTTCGCTTCTCGAAGGGGCGCCGCGGCCGCCACTGTCCGGGCCTGCGCCCATCAGTTTCGGGCCCGAGTTCGTCTTCACTAAACCACGTTTTGCTAACGGGGGTTCTGTCCATCCCCGATGCGGCAATTCTCCAAGGGTGCCTTCGCGCCCTTGGAGACCGGCCTGACGGAGGGGAGGAGGAGGAAGAGGAAGAGGAGGAGGAGGAGGAGGAGGAGG